TGCAAAACATCCTTTCCTCTGTGCTCTGGCAGTTGTAGGTCCTCTTGGCATCTTCAAGTCCAGTGCAGGGTCCAATGCCCTGCATTGGATGTGAGTATTCCGAGGAACAGTCCACTGCTGAAGCGTAGGGGAGCCCTAGTCACTTCAGAGGATCTGGTAAGTAAAACTGCTTTTCCCCTCCCCTGGAGTTAAATGACCATTTAACTTGCTGTTCCAGGGTAGCCCCAATGCAAGGGATCGTTTTTAAATTTCTTTGAGTTGGGTTTAGTTCTGTATTTTCTCTCAGACATGTTCATCTTGAGTAATCAACTGATTCAGCACCTATAAGGAATCTAGGAAGAAGGGATCTACTAGCCCTTTTGTCTGCCTGCCAGAGACCTATATATACAGACATCATGGCTTTAACTTTTTGTAGCCAGTGATGCTGGTGCACCATCATATCTTAAAGGTACAGTACAGGACACAGGCTGAGAACTCCTAGATCCTGGGTTATAGGTGGGTACCTTCAGGTGATTGGACACTTGCAAGTTTTTAAGGCAGTGCCTCCTGGGCATCCGCCCCTCTAACCCCACCCTACTCTGTGAGTCCTTGGTATCCGCCCCTCTAACCCCACCCTACTCTGTGAGTCCTTGGCATCTGCCCCTCTAACCCCACCCTACTCTGTGAGTCCTTGGTATCCGCTCTCTAACCCCACCCTACTCATGTGAGTCCTTGGCATCCGCCCCTCTAACCCCACCCTACTCTGTGAGTCCTTGGTATCCGCTCTCTAACCCCACCCTACTCTGTGAGTCCTTGGCATCCGCCCCTCTAACCCCACACCTACTTATACGTGAGTACCATTGGCACCCCACCCTACTCTGTGACCCCCCTCTACCCTACTCTGTGAGTCCTTGGCATCCGCCCCTCTAACCCCACCCTACTCTGTGAGTCCTTGGTATTTTGCTAGTGTCCTGAGAAGGGCGGACCTCGTCTTTCAAGGAGAAATCGCTCTTATTATTTTATCTTTGGATTCTTCGATCAACTCTTCAGTGTAGTCAAGTTAATTTTCTGGAAAGTCTGTTCTGGTCTGCAACACCTTTTGATTGAATGGCATTATTTTCTTTGCAGTGATGATAATCAGCCAGTAACTGTGTCAGCTGATTAGCTATCTGCTCTTGGCTAATATTGGTGGATATGGCTCAGGGCACATTCTCAGTTTTTGATATCATTTTATCAACCTCTGTGTGTTCCTGCAAGCTTCAGAAAGATGTTTTACAATAAATATAGTGTTAGGCAAGCCAGAGATTGTGATTTTTTTTTTTTTTTTTTTTTTTCTTTCGGGTTGCAGGAAATAAAATTGCTCAATTCCCCCATCAACACAGACTGTTGGCTGGGGTATCCCTCCAGCTGAGCCATTGTGTTCTGGCAGGTGGGACGCGGGGAGCCGTCACTGCCGGGAAAACACTGATAATTGCTAGCTAGCCACTGGCGATAATTGCATGCTAGGAATCGGACATGCTGGTTGTACCCAAGTCGATCCATCAATTGACATTGCCGATACAGGATTCGAAGCTCAGCCAGTCCCTGCTGAACCAGCCGAAATTCAAACCATCTGTGGCAGGCTTTAAAGGATACTTTCACCACTCATACTGTTTCTTTGATTTAATGCGATCAATGTTTTAAACATAAATAACCAGCGCCAAATTTAGACAAAATAAATTAAATAAATAAATGCTGCTGCTCATCAGTGCGAACCCACACCAGAAAATACTTAAACCATAAAAACAGCGCAAAAAAATATAATATAAAAAAAATACTGTGTATCACTCCAAAATATTATAATAAAATTAAATATATATATGAAATTAAAAGTCCCACTCTAAATAGGTGAAAAATTAATAAAGTCTCTGAAAATCCTTTTTCCAAAGAAGTGACCCATGCTTCCACCAAAAATAGTGCTCAAACAATATATACCGCACTCACCAGATACTGGTGAAAAAAACGCCTTTAGGGTTTTTATTATTATTATTATTTATTATTATTATTATACAGGATTTATATATTATTATTATACAGGATTTATATAGCGCCAACAGTTTGCTCAGCGCTTTACAATGTAACGGGAGACAATACAGCAACAATACAGTTCAATACAAGAGGGATAGGAGAGCCCTGATCCTGGGAGCTTACAATTATATGGGATATTACTAACTGGGTCTAGGATCCCATAAAAACCCTTAAGGCGTTTTTTTTCACCAGTATCTGGTGAGTGCGGTATATATTGTTTGATCAATGTTTTGTCACCCACCACAGTTCATGCGTGTGATATATTACTGCCCTTAACTTACAAGTCTTTCAATACGCATGATACCAGTAACCAATGTATTTCTTTATTGTTTTTTTTATTTTAATAAAAATCTATTGAAAGTGAAAGGATAAGTAAACCTTTTGCAACATGTTAAATGTTGAGGGTGTAACATGTTACGATTGGACCGACCCCCGCACTCCCCCTGATCCCCGATGTAACATCTAGTGGGGGATCTTCTGCCTTTATCTGTCACAATTTAATAAAAAAAAAAAACAAAAAACACTTTGCTTGCCCAGTTGCATCCCTCATTCGCAGTATTCTGTGAATGGGAAAACTACAAGTCCCAGCAGACTTTGCGGGTGTCGGATTGTAGTTTTCAATTAACCACCATGGCGCTCCACAGCACCATGATAGTTCATTGAACCTTCCTGTCAGTACCTGCTTGTACGTACAGGATGTACAAGCAAGCAGATATACTGACAGGTCAGGGGGAGCCCAACATGGCACCAGCCATCTGCTGATCGCTGGTGCGATGCTTTAGAGGCTTCACAAACAAAAAATAACAAACGTACATTTTACAGTATTTTTCGCTCCATAAGACGCACCTAGGTTTTAGAGAAGAAAAATAAGAAACAAAATATTCTGAAACAATGGACTGCAGACACAGTACAGGGGATGACCAGAGACTGCGGACACAGTACAGGAGATGACCAGAGACTGCGGACACAGTACAGGAGATGATCAGAGACTGCGGACATAGTACAGGGGGATGACCAGAGACTGCGGACACAGTACAGGGGATGACCAGAGACTGCGGACACAGTACAGGAGATGACCAGAGACTGCGGACACAGTACAGGGGATGACCAGAGACTGCGGACACAGTACAGGGGATGACCAGAGACTGCGGACACAGTACAGGGGATGACCAGAGACTGCGGACACAGTGCAGGGGGATGACCAGAGACTGCGGACACAGTACAGGGGATGACCAGAGACTGCGGACACAGTACAGGGGATGACCAGAGACTGCGGACACAGTACAGGGGATGACCAGAGACTGCGGACACAGTACAGGGGATGACCAGAGACTGCGGACACAGTACAGGGGATGACCAGAGACTGCGGACATAGTACAGGGGATGACCAGAGACTGCGGACACAGTACAGGGGATGACCAGAGACTGCGGACACAGTACAGGGGATGACAGAGACTGCGGACACAGTACAGGGGATGACCAGAGACTGCGGACATAGTACAGGGGATGACCAGAGACTGCGGACATAGTACAGGGAATGGCCAGAGACTGCGGACATAGTACAGAAGACCAGAGACTGCGGACCTTTGGGGAGGGAGGGGGGGTACCTGAATTTGACAGGTACCTGCTCCCACTTCCGCAGAGTTGTCCTTTCTTCTTTTCCCGCGGCGGCTTCTGTGACAGCCGGGTGCCCACTGCGCATGCGCGAGAATTGCTGCGCTTTGTGAATGGCCCGGAGCCTTCTAGGACCTGCCATGTGTCCCAGAAGACACCGGACCATTCACAAAGCGCGGCGCTTCTCGCGCATGCGCAGTGGGCACCCGGCTGTCACAGAAGCCGCCGCGGGAAGACTGCAGCGCTGGAGCGAGGAACAGGTAAGGTCCTGCGGGAGAGAAGAACTGAGCGGCCGGCCCGATATTCTGACATGGTGGCGGCAGAAATACCGGACCGGCCGCTTTACATTCGCTCCATAAGACGCACTGACATTTTCCCCCTTTTTTGGGGGGGGAAAAGTACGTCTTATGGAGTGAAAAATACGGTATTTACCTGCAAAAAAAGTGCATTTATTATTTTTTTGTTAAAAGGTGAACTTAAAGCTGTGAAAAATCTTCCAAAATTCCTGTTTGACAGGAGCGATCGTCAGATAAATGTCTGTTGAGCAGGAACAGCCATAGATGGATCAGGATTTGGTTGGTCCCTTCTGAACCGGTTAAATTTCAAATCCATCTATGGCCAGCTTTAGGGTCTTTGATCTAGACCAGGGATCCCCAAACTTTCTGAACAAAAGGTCAGTTATTGTCCTTTAGACTTTAGGAGGCTGGACTGTGGCCAGCAGGAGTGGACATTTTCCTGCCATCAGTAGGAGTAAACATCACCACATTTGGTATTAGTGGGAGGAATAGTTCCCCATTATTGGTGTCAGTGGAAGAAATGGTGCCCCATTGTTGGTGTCAGTGGGAGGAATAGTACCCCATTATTGGTGTCAGTGGGAGGAATAGTACCCCATTATTGGTGTCAGTGGAAGAAATGGTGCCCCATTGTTGGTGTCAGCTGGCAGAATAGTGTCTCGTATCAGTGGAAGGAATAATGCTGGACTGGATAAAGGCAAGCAAAGGGCCGCAGTTTGGAAGCCCCTGTTCTATACCTACAGTTGCAAGAAAAAGTATGTGAACCCCTTGGGATTACGTGGCGTTTTGCATGAATTGGGCATAAAAATGTGCTCTGAACATCATCTAAGTCACAACAATAGACCTATATGACCTCTAACCTTGTTCGTTCTTCTTTTACAGTGTATGTGCCCGACGAGTGGGAGGTTCCTCGAGAGAAGATAACCATGAACCGTGAGCTGGGGCAAGGCTCGTTTGGCATGGTGTATGAAGGAATTGCGAAAGGGGTAGTAAAAGATGAGGCAGAGACTAGGGTAGCCATAAAAAACCGTGAACGAAGCGGCTAGCATGCGAGAGAGAATAGAGTTCCTAAACGAAGCTTCGGTGATGAAAGAATTTAACTGCCATCATGTGGTAAGTACACTAGAAGAGTAGAGTACACTCTGTATTATAATTTCATTTTTCTGTAATCTACAAATGAAACTGGCCTTGTTTTATCTTCTCTCTGATGATTTCTTTTCTGCCTTCTAGGTCCGTCTGTTAGGTGTTGTTTCCCAAGGTCAGCCAACACTTGTCATCATGGAGTTAATGACTCGTGGAGACCTCAAAAGTTACCTGAGATCTCTAAGGCCAGATGCCGAGGTCAGTATTACTTTCTTGTACTTTACATGATTACATAGTTAGTCTGGCTGAAAAAAGACAAAGTCCATCCAGTTCAACCATTAAAAAAAAAAAAAAAAAAGTTATAATCCTATACCCACAGTTGATCTGTACTGTACAGGACAGTGCATTTGCTAATTGTAGATTTATTTCTGTTGACTCCAGGGGCGGACTGACCATTCGGGCACCCGGGCACTGCCTGGGGTCAGTAGGGGACCCCATGAGATGCCCCTGGTACCTTTCATAGGCTTTTGTAGGTGTGGTTTGAGTGTGGGCAAGGACACAGGGGCCTCATGATTTCCTATTACCCGGGGGCCCCATGAGTTGTCAGTCTGCCCCTAGTTGACTCGTACCTAAAGCGGTAGTAAACCTAAAAAAAAAAAAAAATCCCCTGCAAAATGTCATAATGTGCTAGTATGCATCATAGATCGCATTCTAGCACATTATGAAAGACTTGCCTTAGAACAAAGCCCACCAGCGGGGCGCTGTCACCACTGATAGGGCTTCCATCTTCGTGGGCTCTGGCCGTTTGATTGGCCGAGCTGCGATGACGTCACTCCCGAGCATGCGCTCTGAAGGAACGGCACGGGTAACATCATCGGCTGCAGGGACACTGAATATTTCCAGAACGGTGCATGTTTAGAAGATGTTCCTTGTACCTAGCGATGCACCGAAATTTCAGCAGCTGAAACATATCAGCCGATAGTAGCCCTATCAGCATTCGGAAAGTGGACAGATACAGGTGCCGATAATTGTGAGGGGTGTTCTGGGCGGTGGGGGGGGTTGTGTGTACTACAGATGGGGGAGGGGCAGCGGAGAAAGGAGGGGAGCAGCATATACAGTGAGGGAGCAGAGTATAAAGACAGTCTCCCTCCCTCACCGCTAAATGTCATTGCCGGTTTTTTAAATGCAATTGCCTTTTTTTTTTTTTTTTTTTTTGTTTTCCATTTTATAGCTCCAAGAGGGAGCTTTCTACAAATATATGTTGCGCTCCTAAATACTTCTCAATAAATAATAATTAAATTATTACCATTAAATTAATTCAAATTATGATACAAATAACTAATAAAAGTGTATAAATACCAAAAAATATTTAAATAGATAATTTCAACTAATCAATCTCCTCCAAATAAATATCAAAATATTTCCACATGAAATACTCCTCTAAAAAAAACAACAAGGACCAAGTCACTATATATAAACAATTGTTTATTCAATGGGACTATTATTTTGATGATATTTGGATTCACACTAATCACTACTAATTATTTATGAGCATTTGGTTATCTTTATTTATGGGGGATCATTTAAATGCGTTTTAGTTGAGGGTTATTAGTTGGTTTATTATTTTTATTATATTAAATGAGGGTATTATGAATATAAATGAAATTGAGGGTATTAGTAAGTACATCATGTCACTAATAGATGATTTATGAGCACTTGGTAAAATATTTTTTTAGAGGAGTATTTCATGTGGAATTATTTTTGATATTTATTTGGAGGAGATTGATTAGTTGAAATTATCTATTTAAATATTTTTTGGTATTTATACACTTTTATTAGTTATTTGTATCATAATTTGAATTAATTTAATGGTAATAATTTAATTATTATTTATTGAGAAGTATTTAGGAGCGCAACATATATTTGTAGATATTTCCAACACAGTTGTAGTTATGTGTTTCATGTTTGCGATCCTCTAGTAATTATAAACAAGAGATCCCTGTGCTCAAATCATACAGCTAGTGCATTCATTTATACATCAGGTGCTAAAGGGGTGTAACCACATTAACTCTAGAAATTCTGAAGGACCCTCTGCACACTGGTATATACCCTTTCAAGCAAACTATGCAACAAATAGGGATATTTGGTTCACACATATTGCAATACATGTTTAAGCTGGCCAACTGCGTCAAAGTAATCCCTCTATGGCCAGTCCTACTCTGCCCTGCCTACACAAGTGCTACTGTGGACACAATGCTAGCATAGGGGAAAAGACACAATGGGGAGAGCTACAAGTTTCAGGTCTGGCTACTGACCCAACAATACAACTATCAAGAGATCCCTGTGCTCAAATCCATACAGCTAGTGCATGCATTTATCCATCAGGTGCTAAAGGGGTGCAGAGGGTCCTTCAGAATTTCTAGAGTTAATGTGGTTACACCCCTTTAGCACCTGATGGATAAATGCATGCACTAGCTGTATGGATTTGAGCACAGGGATCTCTTGTTTGTTGTATTGTTGGGTCAGTAGCCAGACCTGAACCTTGTAGCTCTCCCCATTGTGTCTTTTCCCCTATGCTAGCATTGTGTCCACAGTAGCACTTGTGTAGGCAGGGCAGAGTAGGACTGGCCATAGAGGGATTACTTTGACGCAGTTGGCCAGCTTAAACATGTATTGCAATATGTGTGAACCAAATATCCCTATTTGTTGCATAGTTTGCTTGAAAGGGTATATACCAGTGTGCAGAGGGTCCTTCAGAATTCCTCTAGTAATTATCACACCTTTGGCTCCCAAGTCACTCTGATTCATCTATACCTGTTTCCAAGAGGGAGCTGTCATTCTCCCATCCTCTAAAATAGACAAAGGGGCAGGGTCACCAAGTAGCATTACCCAGTGACCCCGCCCCTTTGTTTAATTTAGCGCGGGGGTGTTGGCAGCCCATTCTCTGAGCTATAAAATGATGGGGGCAAAAAAACCAGAAATTGCATTTAAAAACCAGTAATGACATTTAGCGGCGGCAAGTGAAGGGAGCCTGTCTGTATACACTGCTCCTCTCCTTGCACACACTGCCCCTCCCCCCCCCTACAAAGTGGATCTGTCACTTATATGCTATCAGATGGGGGACACTATTGGTCTCCTATATGATAGCAATAAAATCATAAGTTAAAAAGTTTAAAAAAAAAAAAAAAAAGTTGAGCCTCACCACCCCAACATATGCAGACTTTCGGTTTTCGGCCAAGTGCATCCTAAATTTTCAGTTCAGCACCAGAACTTTCATTTCGGTGCATCTCTACTTGTACCTACAGGTAAGCTTTATTATAAGCTTTCCCATGGGAGTTTCCTTCCACTTTAAGCAGTAAGTACTGTACCTTTTTGGCCTCACCCACAGTCATTAACTAGTTCCCACACCTCCATACATACCAGGTTGTTCACGTTGCTGTCCTCATCCTGCTCCTTCCTGCAATGTGTGTTCACAGTAGAACTCAATAGACCATTGGGCTTTTTCCTGATTCAGATGGCCCCATGGAATTTTGTTTTTCTATTGTGCATATGTGAACTGCAAAAGGGAGCTCCAGACCAGCAGGATGTGTACTATGCGGTAAAAACTTCAAGTACAACTAAAGGTGGGTCCGATGTAACAGTCTAAACTAGTACAGAAAACCTCATTTGTTTGTGTCTCACATGCCGTACCTCCCAGGCACTGCAGGTCACAGCGGGAGAGTTTCCAGAAAGCGGTAGGCAGGACTAGGTTTAGCTACATGATGATTGTCAAGTTATAGGCAGTGAAAAATGCTGATGCTCATGCCCCCTTGCAAAATGTTTGCTGCATTCTGCTGTATATTTATTTATTTCAGGTACTTAATAGCGCTGTCAATTTACACCGCGCACTTTACATATATATTGTACATTCACATCAGTCCCTAACCCTCAAGGGGTGTACAATCTAAGGTCCCTGACTTACATTCATACACATATTGGGGCCAATTTAGACAGGGTCCAATTCACCTACCAGCATGTCTTTGGAGTGTGGGAGAAAACCGGAGTACCCAGAGGAAACCCACGCAGGCACAGGGAGAACATGCAAACTCCAGGCATGTGGTGCCGTGGCTGGGTTTCGGACCAACAACCCTAGTACCGCCAGGCAGAAGTGCTAACTATTTAGCCACCGTGCTGTATAGCCTACACGAGAGTGGCAACTCTGCCCTGAATTCACGAGCAGTGTAGTATTGTTGCCACTGCATCAAAGGATGCTGGATTAGGTAGACTTTACTGGCAGGCTTAACAGGTATTTTTTTCAGCATTTGCAGCTGAAGAAAACTGTGCAGATTCACTTATGAGATGTTGCAGCACATATCTCTTTTAATAATAGATTGCCCATAGTTCTACTTGAAGGTTAGGGGGAGGGGTGGAGATCTAAGAGGGTAAGTATACTTAGTGAAAAACCTGACAAAAGTAATAACTTTTGTCCTTACATTCTATGTCCCTGCAGACAAGATGTTCTTCCTCTTCTCACAAACAGCCATCAGCAAGCCAAAAATTGAATACCTGTAGATGGGCTTTAAGGATGCTTTGTATAAAAAGGGAGCCTAGGCCTTGCAAACTTTGAAGTAAGCAAGGGCAAGGCGGCAGCTTCACTGCATTTTGGGCCTGCCCAATTATATATATTATATATATATATATATATATATATATATATATATATATATATATATATATATATATTTTATATTTATATATATATATTTGCCTTTGTACTTTGCTTTGTACTTGTGGGTATGAAAAGCAACTGTACAGAGGTTTTCTCCCTTCCCTGTCCACAGAGAGCCCCCTGATTCCATGTTCAAACATCGAATAAATCCCTTGACGTGGAGATCCTTGATGGCCCCTCCATGCTGTCCCTGTTGCCAACAAGAGTGTCCCGGCTATGGATATCAGGATTCTTGTCAACCAATAGGATGTCATGGTAGGGCAGAATCAATTTCTCAGATTTATGGGTCACTCCTTTCTGAGAAGACTATTTATAACTTTTAAAGGGGGCTTACTTCAAAGCAGTTTGTTTACTTTGAAAACTTAGGAAAAACTGACAGGTTCTTTTTAAAAAAGACCTTCAGGATCGGGGTGTGGTGCATAAAATTGTAAGATTTGCATTTATATCCATGCCCCCAGTCCAGAGGTTTTAAATTGCATACTTTTGGGTTCTGGCATGCCTCTGCCCACTGCTATGCATCTAGTCTTAGACATAAACATCTTTTGGGCCA